TTTTGGATGCCAAACAGTTAAGGAACACGTGGCCACCAGATAAGCTACAATTTCGAGGACAGCTAAGTATGCCCGCTGTACATATAATTTTGTATTCAGCAAATTTATTGTGTAAGTTTTGATTAATTAATTTTTTAGGACCAAACGTGAGTCTTACTTATGATTGTCATGGTGTTACGGTTATTCAAAACATTCAGGGTTGTGATATGATAAAATTAGGACGTCCATCAACCATAAACTATGTTAAAACTATGGTATGGGATGGAGTTTCAAGGTATGGTATTAACTTATAATAGATTGTTATTGTACTTGACAATACGTGTTTACTGACAGGCGGTCAACCCTAACCGTATGTACCCTTATACCAAAAACTATTTTTTAGCACACAATAATTGTCAGTAGGTACGATTCTTTTATTGAAATTTGTTGTTTTGTCTGTGAACACTAAATCTCTCATACTAACTACCACTCACATATGTCTAATACCTTCTTAATGTACTTGGTTTGGGCTGTTCTGTTTTAATCCTACCAACCATACATTTACATCCAAGCATTTATTTAAAATTGATTTTAACACTTTCAGTAGTAATAATTTCTGTAGATATTTGACCATTCCGTCCCCACCATGTTATGACTCACTTTAAAGGCATATTTTCTTATAATTTTATAAAAATTACACTACATTTTTTTGATATTTTAGGGTTTTTAGTTATTACGTTGAAGTATCAATGAATGAACAAGATTGGGTGCGTGTTATAGGTCATTCACATTATTTTTGTCGTAAAATTCAATATTAATGGTTTCATCCACGCATAGTGTCGTATATTCGAATACGTAGAACCCACAGTAATATTAAAATGACTAGCAAATATTTTGAAGTCTCGTTTAACACAAAAAGAAGGCACTTGGTAGAAATCGAAAACGGATTAGTAGGTAAGGACACCAAGAAAATAATCATTCTTTGATTAAATAACAACACATTTTATACGTTTATCTAATTGTCTTCCTTTAATTATTTAGTTCCAAAGTATAATGTTGCTTCATTAACTATGAACGCGATTCAGATCAATGGAGTAAATAATTCAAGTACTCATTATTTATTGGACGGTGACTATAATATGTACGATAGACATCACGGATATACATATCATGCGCTGGGATCGGGTTGTATAGTGGTTCAACTCGCCCAACCTTATATGCTCAGTTCAATGAGGTAATAGCTTTAAGTATTTGGCATTTATAAACGTCTATGATGTTTTAAATCTTCATATTATATGTTGTCAAACTTTGTAGTGTCCTGATAGATTACCTATGATACCGATTATATAGTGCTACATTTGTGTGCGTTTAGTAGCATTGGGCAGCCTGAGTGTTCACAAACTCATTTGCTGTCGGCTTAATGAATATTAATCCACTATCATATGCGCAGTATTCGATTAAAATTTAGATTTCTAAGGATTATAAACTATAATATGGACTTAATTATAGATTTTGTGGTCATAAATACAGGATGTTGCTTTGGGACTACGATGACCTACACTACATGTACACTATAGAAGCCTCTGTCAATTTTATCGATTGGGAAATGGTCGTCGACAAATCAAAAGAGTCAACACAATCCTGGCAATTGTTGCATTTGAAACTCAGGCCCATAGTGTACATTGGAATTACTGGCGTTTACAATTCAGATGGTGATGTTAGTAAAATTAATCTAAGAGTGTTTTTTTTAAGTTTAAATAATTCTTTTATTTGGTAGGATTTTCGTTGTGTATATTTGGAGGCTCCAGCTCAAGTACCATTAGATTCCAACGTCGTTAAAGACCATCGCGCGGTAAATAATCTAATATATTTTTGTTTTTCAATCATAATGACGAAATTTTTTTTTAGGATGACAACAACGAAACAGATATAACTATGGCAGGGACATTGGATGAAGCTCTAGTAGCTTAACCAAATTCGAACAATAAGCATATTATAGTTCCTTTTGTGCTTACCAATATATAATATATCAAATAAATAATTTTCGATATACATTATAACTGTTATATTACTTGTATTCACTTAAAATAAAAACATTTCATTTTGTTTTATGGTGGAAATTAAAATTTAGAGTTTTGGCAATCTGTTAATTGTGTTAATCCTGCACCTCCATCTCACAGGGATATTTGGTTTTGTTACTAACGACTCAATCGATGTGTGTCGACTCCTGCTACTCCCATTGCACCAGACCGAACCGACCACTGGGACCACCGGCCCCATGACTAAACTGTATCATCCCTTTTCCTGTGTATAAATTGTTTCCCTTTCCTTGTTCTTCCTTTGCTCCACCCCATCCTACTCTCTGCGTGTGTCGTCGCACGTACACCTGACAAAACAGCGAGGCATACGTTCGGTTGCCTGTCTGGTACCACTCCAGGAGCTGCCCAATTGTTGTTGTGGTCGAGATCATATCAAATTTTTTGGCTGGTTATTTCGTTCGGTAATCATAAGTTCACAAACATATTGATGGTCCTTCGAGCCGGATGTAACAAAAGTAAACCGTGACCACTGGTATAGTTAAATTCATTTTGTCTGTTGTTTTTGTCGTCGTCGTCGAAAAGAAGTGTTTTTTACAAAACTCTAATGAAATACGGCACCGTGCCTATCTTTGCAAATACATTTTAAAGCTATTTAAAAAGTTCTAATAAAGACTTGTAAGCAACAACCTGCTACTTTGTTGTAGTTGACATCATATTCCAGGAATTCGAATTAAATTATTACTAAAATTAAATACATTTAAAATAGGTTTTAGTTTTCTTATTTTTTTGCAAGTGTAGCCTTTGCGAATAAGTTCTTTAACCCTTTAAGATAGAAACCCTTTAACTAGACTGTCTGGAATAAATGTTTCAGCCAAAGTTCTAACCTTAAAACCCACAAGCGTGTGCACACCGGCAGAAAGCCATGTGCATGTGTTATATGTAAAAATCAGTTTACCGAAACCGTTCTCTCTTCTCGAATCAAGCAAAATCGTATCACTATTATCTTATGAAATTTATATTTAAATTATGTTGTCTTGCTAAAAATATAAAAAAAAGTCAAATAAATAGAATATTCAATTAATAAAATATTCTTAATATTGTCTTTTAAAACATTTAACTGCAGTTGATTACAAATTAAGTTTTCAGATTATGACCATCGCATAACTTAAAAATGTTGTATGATGTTTTCTTGTTTTTTATAGATAGTTTTTACGAATATCATAAATAGTTTAACCAGGTAAAGTAAGGTAAAATAAATAGATTAAGAAAATAAAGTAAAGTGAATAAGGTTAAATCAATTCATTTTTTTTTTGATACTATAATTTTTAAAGCCAGTCCAGTACCCTAAAAAGCTAAAATTAAGAAATCTAATGTTTATAAGTTATTTTTACTTTCATAGAAAATCGAATGTAATTTAGGATTAAAATTATTATAACTATGGCTGTAGCCTTTAGATAACTTTCGATGTGAAATCAGTGAAGAATAATTTTATGCAAGAAATGTCAAATATTTTTTTAAAATAGTTGCCCATAAACAATACTTTTATTCACGTTATGAAAAGTAAATGATAATGTAATTTTGTATATTGTGGTATACATTATTCACTCATTTTGTGTTTTTTATTTCATATGTACAAATTTGTTCTGCGTTTATACCTATTTAAAAGTAGTCTACTAAAGATAATCGGTCCTCTCGATAAATATTTCCCCAATTAGAAATTCAAATGTCTAATAAAGAGATTTACCAAACTTTTTATGAAATAAAACATTAAAATAATATATTATTCCATACTGAGTAGCTAGCAGAGCAGTACTGTATTTTAACTTAAACTTATCAAATAACCATCCAGATAATAAATTATTGAAGTGTAAATTATATGAATGCTTTCAAAAGTATAATTTTAATAAAGTTTTTATTTACTTTATAACACGATTTTGTGTACATATATTAGTTATTATACATAAGACATATTTTGGAAAAAAATTAGCCACCATTTAATCAGTGTAACGTGTAAGTCGTAGTAGATATAAAAACCTATATATAAAAAAAAAACTAAACATGGTGTATAAAACTGTTATGGGTTTCAAATCTTCCAAACAATATTAAGCAATAGCCAATATACAACCAAAACATGTACACACAATATTTGTTTATCAACTTTAGTTTGTAAGTATGAAAAAAATGTGGTGATCTACTACAATAAAACTACATATTAGTTTTAAACCTCTGATGACTAAGTTTCTTTATAGTGTTTTATAAAGTATTAAAAATTTGATATTATAATATCACATATATTAACATGTTGATCATTTATTTTTTAGCCTTTATTATTTTATGCTCAACCTCAGGTAAATAATTTATTTTATTAATACATAAACATTTTTTTTCATTATTATTTAATTGAATTAATGTCGAAGCGTTATTATTACTTAGAATGTATAATACCTTCACGACATTTGAAAATCGGTTAGACAATCATAGTATCTTACTTAATTTAAAACCAGAACATAATAAAAACTTTAACATTTAATAACTACACTAAATAAATAATAAATAAATAAAAAATAATAATATTATAATAAATAATAATAATAATTGATTAATGGTCAACTAAAATAGTTCTAAACCACAGTTAATTTTTCAAAAGTTTAGTATAGTTTTTGTGATTAGTCAAAATATGTATGTATTTTAAGATAACGCATTTTTTTCTTGTATTTACATAGGTAAGATGTTATTCATTTGAACAAACTAGGAACGCAAATGTTTTATAGATTTTATATACTATACAACGTACTATACGTCCATTAGACAATAAAAACATAGTAAAATTGTAATTATTTTCAGAGAAAATCAATGTCTTATTTAACGTAAACCGTTTCAACTATTAAAACGTATTATTTACAATCAATAATGCTATTTTTATTATTTTATTTAAAAAACTACATTATTAATAAACAAGAAAATATAAAATCGGATGACTGGATGGTACACCATAAATCATACTTATTTTACCGCAAAATTTTATTATTTTTTTTAGCATTTTATTATCCTATTGAATGTACACCATCTTCGTCTACAGCCGAACAGCACAGTAAAGAACAAATTGATCACGGTCCATTTTTGGTCAACGACATTGGTAGTCTGTATCTAGATGAAAGGTATGTAGGTAGAATTTTATTTACACCAATTAACATTATAATTTTAACTATTGGTTTAATTTTCTGTTAACATAGGAATTTATTCTTTAAAATATTTTTTAAAAATAAAAAACAGTTCTGTGTCAAATAAAAGATTTAAATTATTTTTTATAGATTTGGGAATGGTTTGAGCTAGTAAGGCTAGTGCCACATCTTACCGCACACTTAATATTGTTAGTTGAATTATTTTCGAAAATTATTTAATAATTAAATACACTTGATAACAATGAAATAGATATATCAAAGAACAATCGGCACTATAATAAAATAATATAATAATTATTAAATACAAATTCGTATTTGTTTTATAGTAAATTATAATGTTTTTTTTTTCAGATATTCTGATGTTGTTTTAATTGTCGACAAAGAACGATTGCATGCCCATCGTGTTGTGTTAGCCTCGCGCTGTGAATATTTTAGGTAATTAGTTCTTATCATTAAGCATATCACCTTAGTATTCGATGTTAGTTGGTTTTAAGAGTGATAATAGATATTTCTATTATTTAATAGTTACTTTTTGATAAACGTAATAGAACTAACTATTGCTTGTCATATCGCGGTCACAACCCAAAACATTAAATTTGTACCCATAATTATTAATTAGGTTTTTAATTTATTTAATGTCATATTTTTAAAGACCATTACAATACTAAGTACCGACTTACGAAAATCTTTTAATTGCAACATTATATACGGTAAAAGTTGCTGATTTTTTTTACTATACACTTTTTTTTTTTTGTAATAAATAAGATATAGTAGGTATTTAAGCTTATTTTAACATATCTATTGCAAACATGTGCTCACTTGTGGTACTATTGATTCAAAATAATAAAACATAGTTTATGGTAAGTTTTGGAACGATAGCGTCTTATTTTGTAATAGACATAAATTGTTGTTTCTGCTAATACCATGTATAATTTTTAGACCATTATTGTATGGAAATTATATAGAATCTCATAAATCTGAAGTGAATATAAGTTTTGCATCAGCAACGTCGTTTAAAATACTACTTAAATATATTTATACCGGTCGGATGAATTTAAGTGTTCTAAAGGTGACTTATAATTAATGTACCTTAACTGCTATACCTACCCTATTTTTTCTAAGCTGTGCGATCGTTGGGTCGATCAGTTGTATTTTAATTGGAAAAAATATTTATAGGAAAACGGTTAACGATTATGTAACTTTTTTTTTTTAGAATGAAGTTATTTTGGAAATATTTAATATTTCGGATTATTTTTGTTTTCCCAATTTAAAACCTCTACTGTCCAAGTATTTGCTAAGTAAAATAAATGTACACAGTGCATGCTCGATGTTTTCTGTGGCAAGTCTATATAAACACGAAGAGCTCGAAGTCGAAGCACAGAACTTTATCGACAAAAACGCTATGAGTGTATTGCAATCTAGAGATTTTCTCACTTTGTCGTCCGTAAGAACCCAACACGATTTTTTTTCTAGTTAGATAATAGTTGAGAAACATATTCTATTTTTAGGATGAAATACAACAAATTCTAAATCGAGACTCGTTACTTGCTAACGAAATGGATATATTCCGTGCGGTTTGCTGGTGGATCAGAGAGAACCAAGGAGGTCTAGGTTATGATGCTAAAATCAAAGTTTTATCTGCCGTCAGATATCCGTTAATGAGTGACGAAGAACTTATGGAGGTTGAGAAATCACAACTGGTTAGTTCGGATACAATTTTGGATGCCAAAAATTTAAGGAACATGTGGCCACCAGATAAGCTACAATTTCGAGGACAGTTAAGTATGCCCGCTGTACATATAATTTTGTATTCAGCAAATTTATTATGTTGGTTTTGATTATTTAATTTTTTAGGACCAAACGTGAGTCTTACTTATGATTGTCATGGTGTTACGGTTATTCAAAACATTCAGGGTTGTGATATGATAAAATTAAGACGTCCATCAACCATAAACTATATTAAAGTTATGATATGGGATGGAGTTTCTAGGTATGGTATTAACTTATAATAGTTTGGTTTGTACTTGAATATACGTGTTTACTGACAGGGGTCAACCCTAATGGTTTGTACCCTAATACCAAAAATTATTTTTTAGCACACAATAATTGTCAGTAGGTACGATTCTTGTATTGAAATTTGTTGTTTTGTCTGTGAACACTAAATCTCTCATACTAACTACCACTCACTTATGTCTAATACCTTCTTAATGTACTTGGTTTGGGCTGTTCTGTTTTGAACCTTCCAACCATACGTTCACATCAAAGCGTTTATTTAAAATTGATTTTAACACTTTCAACAGTAATAATTTCTGTAGATATTTGACCATCCCGTCCCCACTATTCCATGCCTCACTTTAATGGCATATTTTATTATTATTTTATAAAAATTACATAACAGATTATTTTTTTTATTTTAGAATTTTTAGTTTTTATGTTGAAGTATCGATGAATGAGCAAGATTGGGTGCGTATCGTAGATCATTCCCATTTTTTTTGTCGTAAAATTCAATATTTATGGTTTCATCCACGCATAGTATCGTATATTCGAATACGTAGAACCCATAGTACTGTTAAAATGACTAGCAAATATTTTGAAGTCTCGTTTAACACAAAAAGAAGGCACTTGGTAGAAATCGAAAACGGATTAGTGGGTAAGGACACCAAGAAAATAATCATTCTTTGATTAAATAACAATACATTTTATAAGTTTATCTAACTGACTAATTTAAACTATTTAGTTCCAAAGTATAATGTTGCTTCATTAACTATGTATGCGGTTCTGACCACTGGAGTAAATAATTCAAGTACTCATTTTTTATTGGACGGTGACTATAATATGTACGATAGACATCACGGATATACATATCATGCGCTGGGATCGGGTTGTATAGTGGTTCAACTCGACCAACCTTATATGCTCAGTTCAATGAGGTAATAGTTTTAAGTATTTGGCATTTATAAACGTCTATGATGTTTTAAATCTTCATATTATATGTTGTCAAACATTGTAGTATCCTGATAGATTACTTATGATACCATTTATATCTTGCTACTATTGTGCGCGTTTAGCTGCATTGAACCGCTTGAGTGTTAGCAAACTCATTTGCTGTCGACTTAATAAATACCAATCCACTATCATATAAGCAGTATTTGTTTAAAAGTTAGGTTTCTATGGATTATAGAATACTATATGGAATGAATTTTTGATTTTGTTGCCATAATTTACAGGATGTTGCTGTGGGACTACGATGAGCAACACTACATGTACACTATAGAAGCCTCTGTCAATAATATAGTTTGGGAAATGGTAGTAGACAAATCAAAAGAGTTAACACAATCCTGGCAGTTGTTGCAATTTGATCCCAGGCCAATAGTGTTTATTCGTATTACTGGCGTTTACAGTTCAGATGGCAATGTTAGTAAAATTAATCGAAGTGGGTTTTTTTACGTTTAAATAATTCTTTTATTTGGTAGGATTTTCGTTGTGTATATTTGGAGGCTCCAGCTCAAGTACCATTGGATTCCAACGTCATTGAAGACGATCGCGTGGTAATAAATAATCTAATATATTTTTGTTTTGCAATCATGAAGACGAAATTTTTTTTTCAGAAGAACAACAACGAAACAGATATAACTATGGCAGGGGCGTCGAAAGAAGCTTCAGTCGTTTAACCAAATTCGAAATATAAGCACATGTTTGTTTCTTTTGTATTTACCAATATATAATATATCAAATAAATAATTTTCGATATACATTATAACTGTTATATTACTTGTATTCACTTAAAATAAAAACATTTCATTTTGTTTTATGGTGGAAATTAAAATTTAGAGTTTTGGCAATCTGTTAATTGTGTTAATCCTGCACCTCCATCCATCAGGGATGTTTTGGTTTCTTTCAACTAACGTCTCAATCGATGTATGCCGACTTCTGCTACTCCCATTGCACCAGACCGAACCGTCCACTGGAACCACCGGCCCCATGACTAAATTGCATCATCCCGTTTCTTGTGTATGAATTGTTTCCCTTTACTTGTTCTTCCTTTGCTCCACCCCGTCCAACAATTTTTATATATAATATTACTCTTGTATTACTTGTATTTACTTAAATTAACATTTTTTCATTTGGTTTTATGTTGGTAGAAGTTATTTTATGCACATTAAAGGCTGAAATCCAAAATCTTACCTTAAATAGTTTGCTCATGCATGGTGCCAACTTTTTAAATTTAAATGGCAATCTCTACATTTTTGGGAATTTTGTTAGCAATTAATATTTGAAATACAAAAACGCCCTTTGCCATTGTCCGCAATCGCAATCGCAATGGTATTTAAAATAATCGTCACTAAAATAAGGAGGTAATTGATCCGGGTAATCCGTAACCAATATGATTTTCATCAGCCAACCAACAACGTATTATGTGTGTTGGGATAAATAATACGTTGAACTATAGACAGACGTGTACAAATATCGTTATGTTTTAAAAATAAGATACAATCTATAGTCGTGTGTGGACATTAAATTTAATTTTATATATATTTATTAAGCAATACAAATGACAGTAACATATTATAATAATACTATTGATTTAAACCTATTAGTTCCATATAGAAGTCGGGCTTCAGGCGAACGGTGGCGCTAATTAAGACCGAAAAGCTGTGTTATCGACCGCTGCTGTTAATCTAGCAATACTTGAGCAGGTGCTTCCAAATCTACACAATGCAAAAACTACGAAAAAAAATTAGTTTTTATCAATTTTAAGAAACACTCTTCGATTAATTATTTTACTCCGTCATTTCTTACAGTGCGTTCGCTAGTAATGAGTATATACACTACCAACTTGGATTCAAATCGCAACAACTGCCACGATCGTGCCAAAACATGAGATTTATTTACAATCATGTCCCAATGTTTATTATTGGTCGAAACTTTAATAGTGTAACCAGAGATTGGTTCCCTGTCGTCATTAAGCAGCATCCTATAAATAATGACAATACTAATATAATCTTGATATTATTGCCAGAGCTGAAGTTATTTTTTAAGCAATAGAAATTTGTATTTTAGGCACAAATTATATAATACTTAAGTAACCGAAATCAAAGTAAAAGTTAAGTGTTAAGGTCTTTCCCTTAATATCAGTAAGTGCAGTGTGATTTCTTTCTCAAGATCCAGAAATCCTATACACTATCCATATCTACTTAATGGCTCTCGATTGCAACGAGTTTCTATTATCAGAGATCTTGGTATTTATTATTCATGCAATCTTTCCTTTAACCACCATATCGATGTCATAATCGGTAGAGCCCTTAAAGTCTTAGGTTTCCTCAAGCGTAATACGAAGCTCTTTAATTCAATTAATTGTCTTAGGACTTTGTATTTCGCTCTTGTCCGATCCATTTTGGAATATGGGGTTGTTGTTTGGCATCCTTATCTGGCTAAGGATCAATTGCGGCTTGAGCGTGTCCAGCATAAGTTTTTGTCTTATGCTGCATACAAGCTTAAATTACCTCCATTGCAACATGATTACTCCCATATTAGCCGTATCCTTAATATCCAATCTTTATCATCCCGTCGTAATGATGCTGACTCTCTATTTATAAATGCTCTCCTCAATAATTCCTTTGATGCTCCTGATCTTCTCTCCCGTGTCTTATTTAAAGTTCCTTCATACACTACTCGAAATCCAACTTCTTTTTATACTCCTATTCATTCCACTTCTCATAGCCTCAATCATCCAATGCACAGAATGCTCAGATCGGCAAATCTAGTGTAACCTTTGTCGATTGTCAGTTATTAAATTTGTATTATTATTATCTTTATGTCTATTTATATTTGTTATCATTTGTTTAATTGTATGTTTAATCATTTTGTCAACCATCTAACTTAAAACAGCCGATTGGCGTGTATACTTAAAATAAATAAATAAATAAATAAGTGTTATGTAAACGATTACCTCAATGAACTAAGGACATAAGGTTGAGTAAGTGTAACGTGCATATGTTCTGGCATTATTTTGACTACTCTCGTGTCAACATTTTCTAAAATAACATTGTACTTTGGAGCTAATAGAATCAAAATCAGTCAATTAGACAAATATGTTATTATTGTATTATTCAAAGAACGAGTTAATTTCGTGTTGTACTTACCCACAAATCCATTTTTGATTTCCACCGAGTGCATTTTTTCCGTATTGTACATGACTTTCAAAAAGTCAAATTTCTTATTACTAGTATTTTCGGTGCCAACAATTCTGATATACCTCACAAATCTTCGGTTAATCCACAAACGTTGAGTTGACTGGCAATGATAATTTGAATGATCTACTACACGCAACCAATGGCGCTTATCCGTTGATACTTCAATGTAATAAGAGTAAGGCCTAAAGTATCGCATAAGTCGTACAAATGAAATGTTGTGTAACTTATTCATAAATCGATTGTTAAAAATCAATTCTTTAGAATTATTGTGCGACAATTATTGGAGTAATGATTGAAATTAATAACTAACTGATTGTTCGGTGAATAAACAATATGATTTTGAATATGGAAAAAAAATTGATATTTTATTCGTGAATAAATTAAATTTTCGACTAATTAAAATTATGATTTATGTACGATATTATTCGTGATAAAAATACATTTTATTCGAAATCGTTATTCAAATAAAGTTATAGTAAATCTTTGATTAGAAGTATTCATAAATAAAAGCAAACCTTATTTCTTCATTCCACTTTGGAACCTTACCATATATCATTTCAATATAGTTTATATTCAATGGATAATAGAACGTGATCATGGTACCACCGTCAATTTGATAAAGGTCTTTCTGATATTGTTCAGCGAAATTCACATTGGGTACTAAAGAACAAAGTAGTTGTTACTAACATAATTTGCTTAACAAATAATTGCATTAGACATACTTAATTGTCCTCGACCATTAAATTCTTGTGGGAGAGACTCTATTCTCGATTTTATGACATCCAAAATAATTGTATCCGAACGAACCAGGTCTGATTGCCTAACTTCAGACAGTTCTTCGTCATCCATAAGCTGATATCTGACGGCAGATAAAATTTTGGTTTTATCACCAGGATACAGTTCGTTTTGGTACTTTTTGATCCAACGACAAGCCGCACGGAATATATCCACTTCGTTAGCATACGCCGTATCACGATTGAGAATTAATTGTAATGTTTCCTAAAAATACGAATTTCTGTCACAACCGGTTACCTAACACGAGCAATGTTGATTTTTTATTACGAAAATTTTATTACGGGCGACAAAGAGAGAGCATCTTCAGATTGCAATACATCCAAAGCGTACACGTCGATAAAGTTGAGTGATTGGGCTTCAAGTTCTTTGAGTTGATAAAAAGAGGCCACAGAAAACAACGAACTTACATTGTTTACATTGATGTGTTTCCGCAAATACTCGGACAGTGAAAATTGTAATTTTGTAAAACCAATTTTATTTGAGAGAATTAATAACTCCAAAATAACTTTATTCTAAAAAATTAAAAAATACATAATATATGTATTTAATTAATCATATTCTGAATAATGTTATATTTATTTTCTAATTAAACACATAAAACACAATCGATCGACCGAATGAATTTAAAAAAAAGCACTATGTGGAAAAAAAAGTTACCTCTAGATTTCTTAAATCCATTCGACCGGAATATATATACTTAAGAAGTACTTTAAATGAGGTTGCTGATCCCTCTTTTATTGGCACCTCCACTTGACGTGCTTCTTTATGAGCTCCACACAGTAAAACGCTAAAAATTATACACAATAATAGCACAAACAGCTATACATAATACAATTAGTTTAAATACCTACTTACTATATCACTTTTTTTACAACAGCTAATTATTATTGCTATAAAAGATGTATTAGTCTCACCTAACAAAATCATCGAGTTTAACCAATAAACAGAATACAGTTAAGAACTTTAACTAACAACTGTATATTTTTTTGTATAACATTTACAAATCATTAGAAAACCAAGAAATCAAGATACTCAATGCTGCTTTATTTTGTCAAAAACCTTTGGGCTGGTTGATTAGAAAATTAGTGATACCGTACAAAAAATAGCAAAAATATTTTTAAAAAATAAATAAAATTGACAAATTTATATATATCATACATATTAAGGTATCATTATTACTAAAGGAATTATATACTTAATGAAAATAGTTAAATACCTAAAATATTTACAGCGTGTGGCCAACACAAGACGATGGGCGTGCAATTTTTCATTGTGTACAACTAAAGTAACATCCGAAAACCTAAAAAAAATATTAAAATAATTATTAATATACACGTGGATACTAAAAACGAATAATATCTTATGTATTTAGTATAAGATATTTAAAAATAATACAAAGAAGTATTGTAATAAATTAGCTTGGGTATTGACTACATTCGATTTTTAGCTTCGATGCGGAGCTGAGAAGGTATTGTTTTTACAATGATGTGTTTTTATTTTTTATTTTTGTGTCTGGATCCACGATATCTCGTAAACCGCTGAACCGATTTCTTCGTGTAGCAACTCTATAGATCAGAAATCATACCTGGAAGGTACTTTATCAGGCCAAAAATTATATTAAAATATAAAATTATATTCCGCTTAAGTATGTAATATGCATTTAAGTATTTCAGTTTTTTTTTTTATTTTAGTTAAAATCAGAGTGTTTGGGCGCCCTTGACGGTTTACTGGAACGTCAGTATGGCGCGGTGTATTGCGCAATAGCAACAAGTTGTCGCTAAGGTCTTATGGCTCTCCTAATATTTCAAAAAGTGTTTTTTAGTGAGTGACGTGTACTTTATATATTTTTCCTACCCGTGTGAATACGAGTATTTTATCCTAGTCAGAAATACAGAGGCTTATGGTAACGTGGGAGGCATCTGTCCAACATATTACAATAGCTCAGAAATTGATGAATATTCAGGACAGACAGGTATTGTTGTATTGTGGTACATAAGCTACTCACAAACTAACTCATAGGTTTCAAATAAAAAATAACTGACTAGTGCAGAGTGGACGAATGTAACAAAAATGTCTATGAATCAATGCCAAATTGAGATACAGGAGGTCGTGGTGTTGGTAACTACCACTGCAGGTTTCCAGTACCTATGCAGTGATAATAATATAACTGAAACACTGTCACACATCAGAGGCTTTTGTCCTAAAGCTACACTGCTTCGGAACTGTGCACATCACTTGCGAACCTGTTCCAGAGAAAAGGCTTTGAAACCTACGAAGAGGTACTTGCGGGATCCATGATGGGACCAACACTCGAGGTGTTAATCTGGATCCCACTAAACGATGGGAAATTAATGATAACAGGCAAGACATAACAATCGTCGAAGAGAAAAAAACTATCTTCACTCCTTGCATACCACACCTAACACAATATTATGGCATAAACCTATGGGAAGTTACCGGATTGTAGATTGGGACCAGAAGAACGGCTTCATCACTGCTAGTTTCATTCTTCAAAGCGAATGGTCTAGCAGTCAAAGAGCTGGGAAAGATATATTTTACCTTTCCGAAGGACACACTATATATCATTAATTACCACCTATACAGTATAATATATATACTATATAATAGTTTTAATAATGATTAAATGTTCAGTTATTTTATAGTTTACTTATTTATTATTATTATATTTTGTTTTTCTTAATTATTATGTTTTAATGTTTATTATAGATCAATATTGGAAAGTTTAATAAATAGGGGGTTGTATGACCACATTTGGCCATATAAAGTAATATTGAGTATTTTTATTTATTTATTTTTTGTATAGCTAATTATGAATATTATTCATATTCCGTATTATTAATATTGCATATAAATCCTAATAACTATGTACTCTAGTATTGACTAGTATGCTGTGTCATTTCTGGCAACCTATAAATATTAGACAGCCCACTTATTTTATTTATTAAAATAAAGTTGTGTTATATGTGTGGTATAGTTTCAGCGATAGCTGTTTAAGTATAATGAATGATGTTGACGTTAATGGTCATAAATTGTACCTAAAATACAATAATAAACATAATAGGAATAAATACAATACTACATACATTTCGTTTAGATACAGATGGATATAGTCGTCGCCTAAGGATTGAGCGTGATCGATTAGACTGTTATCGGCCGGATTGGACGAAGACGATGCATACCCGGTAGGACCAGAAAATGCTAAAAAATAAAACTGAATTTGTAGAGTTTATTTACGACATGGATAGCATCCAATAATTTTATTTAAAATTTGTTTTTAAAATGGTGTATGTTAGTTTTTTAAATAAAATAATATTGATAGTTTTATTGCGTAAGGGCAGTATAGTTTTATAATTGTAAAATAATTTTACAATTTTAGCGCTCAATATAAAATAAGGCCAAAACCTGAACTAACCTTTCGAGAAACTTGTTAAAAAAGTTTTTCAGTCGAGTCTGCAACCACGAAAGAGCATTTTCATGTCTTTTCATATTATATATAATGATAAGTATATTAAGAAGCAGTAACAAGCTAGTATATTAAAACATCAAGTTTCTGGCTAATATTGTAGTGCTTAATATTTTGCTTAAAACAATTCATAAAGAATTTAGGCCCTTAAACTTTTTTTAATTTATCATTTAGTTCTAATTTGAACATTGAACGTACAACATATCTCTTATCTCCTATATCTTACCCCTATCTTTCACCCCCTATCTCCCACCGCTATCTTCCACCCTATCTTCTACCCTATCTCCAACCCTCTATCTCCCACCCCTATCCCCATCTCCGTGTGGTAACACTTTTTTCGGGACTCTTTTTTCTTTACTCTTTTTTCGGTTATGTGCCAGAGATAAGACATTCTCACCTCCAACCCCCAACCCCATTCCCACCCACATCCCTATTTCTGACCCAACCACTACCCCATTCCCCCCCCCCATCACCGTGTGGTAACGCTTTATTCGTGGACACTTTTTTCGTTACTCTTTTTTCGGTTATGTGCCAGAGTTAAGACATGAAAATGTTAAAAATAGCTAATTAGCATCCATAAGATATTATTAGAGCTTATCTTAGACATTATAACTACTCAGTAAGGAGGTTTGTGAAAGGAAAAGTAAAAACTTATTGAGCCATCTTTTAGTGAGCAAAAAGCAAATACCGTAGACTATGATAATTTCCACAATTGTGTTCACAACTTACGCATAAGATTATATGCTTCCATTATAAGAAGACAACTATTTATGTAGATCTGTATGAAATATTATTATTATATATTATAATAACGTACCTGGGGTTGACCATAAAACGATGAGTGCAATTAAATTAATAAACACCATCGTGTTAATATGATTTATGAATACTATACAAAACACTTAAAAAAAAAACACAATGTCCATAGGTATTGAAAGCCAACCGGAATATATTTTTTTATCTAAATAGTGCACCATTTTTTAGCAAGAATTGTGTACACAACTGGTGTGCGTTTTTTGTGCGTCGCCACATTGAATTTGATCGTGCAGTAACAAATTTATTGGCAAAGTACCTACTAAATCAATAAATATTCTAGCTTTTTTTCGCGTAAACCTCTTGTCGGATAGTAAAAGGAAATTTTGGTTTTCAGAAAGCCAACGAAACGGAGGCCAAAAAGGTGAACTATTATTTTTCTTTAAGCAAAGTATATCGAGGAAAAAAAAGTTTTAATAAAAAGTGTTCGTAAGGGGAAAATATAAAATTAAGTTGCTATACTTTTAGCTTCGATGCAAAGCGAGAAGGTATTGGTTTTGTTATAAACATATAATACTTTTAAGTATACTTTTATTTTCAACAAGTTCATAAAAAAACAACTGGATATTTTACATTAAAACTAAGTGAAAAGCTTATACGAAAAAAACAAAATGTGTATCAGCTATCAGAATTATTAATACATAGCACCGCGGCCGTGTTTAAAGTAACCGAACAATAACCACCTTGACATCATTAAGAGGCCTTTTCACCTGTGCATTTTCTATTGAAAACAAATTTTTGTAAATTCGTTCATAGGTAACCTTCAAATTTTTTTAGTGTAGTATGAAAACATACTACAATAATTTGAACAATACACGTGCACAATAATATTCTGACTATGCATTACAACTTAGATTTTTTTTAGACCTGAGAGGCTTAGACTGAGAGGCCTTTGTCCCTCGAAATTGTCAATCTCAATTCACCCCAAACAAGTCCCATACATACGAAGAATTCGAATTTGTATAATAGATTTCAATTACTGACGATTCTTTTTAAAATTAAATCATATTCGATTTCATACATTTAATTATTTCTGAATAACTTTTACCAGTCTATTTCTGTATTTTATTGTTATTTATGTTATTATCTAACAAAATCTTTATACATATTTGTAATTTGTAAGCTAATAAATCATTATTCATTAGAATAAGAAATGTCAATACATTTCAATTAGCTTTAAAAATACTACAACGAGTAAAAACTTTGTAAGACAATTTTAATTAAAAATAATAAGATTTCGAATTTCATATAAAGGTCAATAGTATTCAAAATAAAAGCTTTACGCTGATAGTCTGAAATTCAAACAAACATAATTATTGATATGATAAATCTACAAATGTTAATAAAATAAGCACCCATTACGCTAGTCTCCTATATTAGT